TACAGTAACATTTTGGCTACCATACATTACATATGTATATATATATATATTTATTATTTTCAAATAAATACTTAAATGTCAGTTACTTTTCTTAAAAGAAAACATAGAATAGTAAATAAAGAAATATTTGGAAAATAATGATTTCTATTACTTACAATGCTATGAAGTCCTTGTTTACACTTTCTAACCCTCATCATAAGCCTTTTCCAACATGTGGAGATGGAAAAAAATAATTATTTTTGTAGACTTCATACATGCATTTTGGAATACCAAAAAATTATAAACTACTGTATCAATACCCCAAAAATCCACTAATTTACCAGGCTTCCTAACTAAATTGTGATTTGGCCTAAAGAAATCTAATCTTTGTTCAGTAAATAGCCTAGATTGTGATACTTCAAACTTTCCAATAATATAAGGGCTTTTCTCTCATAAATAACTTAGGAAGAGTGACAGAATTATGTAGAAGAAATGTTGAACTTTCAATTAGTTATAAAGTTATTGGTATACAAAAGTAGATGTAGATAAATAAGTCTTCTCTAATGATGAAGTGGTGGGCAGAGGTGGATTCGCTAGATATCATGATATCTCAGCAAATAGAAAAGGTAAGAGGTTCTTATTTGATATTCTAGCTTGCAAATATAGAAAAATTTTAGTTTCTAATTCGTAAGAAACTATGGATGTTGTATTGTGGACATCATAGAATGTAATCTGACCAAACCCAAAAGGTGACATACCACGACACACAAAAATCAATATTTACTTTCAAATTAAAAAATTAACTAACCTATAATACTAAAATTTGAATATATTCTGAAATTTGATGCCAAACTTATTGACATACATTTATAAAATAATAGTTAAGTAAAGTTTTGAATGTAAGTCTACAAACATGATGACATGCCATCTGCCCCCTACCCATGTTGATAGGGTTAAAGGCTTGTGCACACAAAAATTAACACTGTTAACCTTCTCATTACAGGTATGTCAGAGTGTGCATGTCATGACCTTTTAAGGAGTTGCATTCAAAATTTAATCAGACTACTTTATTATTAATGTATACAAATAAACTTGTCATCAAAATATAGCTAATAAGTCAAAATTTAATATTTTATAAGTTTTAAGCTATTAATTTTATAAGGAAACACTTTTAAAAAACCTCTCTCCCCTAGTATGAGAATCGTGACATTTGTCTTCTCACTTCTCAAATTTATTTTACCACCACACTCTGAAATATTGAATTTAATGTAACTTAATTATTATAACACAGATATTACTAAGGCAAAGTCTAATTTTTATAGCCTTCATTCTTCTTTTTCTATGGAGTCATAAACTAGAAAGTTGGACCCACTTACCATGCCCACCTATCACACCCTCTTTTTAACAAATTGTCAATCGTTCTTTCTGACATTTTATAATATATTATTTATAACCATTAGAAAGACAGGATTTTAATCTATCAAATAGCATATTATATTGCATTGTTTTCAGTACAGAGTATTGTCTACTTTGTCTTTACTTTGACAGTTGCTCTTGAGGTGTTTGGATCGAGAAGTTTAAATAATTTTTAAGGCTCTTATGCCATAATTAGGAAGCCAGTTAATTTATTATACTTATAGGACATTGTTTGCTTTGTGAACGTTATTTTTCTGTGTTCTTAGTTGCATTATTTAAGTAAATAAAAATTATGTAGGGTACTACTACTACTACTGTTAGTTTAGAAAACAAGTGGGCTTTAATTTCATCGTAAACTGAGAGCAACAAAAAACGAGGGCAGAGATAGGTACCATATTTTTTCTTTTCAATGTATATTCTTTATACATTATTATAAAAGTAACTAAAATAAAAAAATTAGACACTTATTAGGTTAGATTAGGTAAGGTAATGAAAAATAATGATAATAATGGTTGCCCATGCATTAAGTTATTCAATACAATAACTTGAGCTATATGTTTGCTGTTTGAGTTACGATGTGTATTGTGGGATTATTAGTCAGACACAGTTCGAAAGGCAATAAAACAATAATATTAACCTTATCTGCATCAAAAATCAATTAAACTACATTTTGTTTATGCTATACTAATTACTATGGCATAAATTCATAGGTAATAATCCATATTTTAATAGTATATAAGTTTTAAGTTTTTAATTTTATAAGGCAATATTTTAAAAAAATCCTGAATTTCCCCTAGTGTGAGAAATGTGACATTTATTCTCTAGGCATCCCCTCTTCTCTAATTTATTCACTACCCATCCAATAAGTAAGAATTTTTTCTTCATTATTTTGACTCTCTCCACTATTTAATCCTAGTTTAAAGTTGTCCTTACAGTTGAGCTAATATACCATGCACACAAGCCAACCGTTATTCCATAACTCTCTCGCAATGAAGTTGGTCGAATCGACTGACCTCGTAACAACTTTTGTATTTGCTTTAGCTTCCATACTTTAACTTTTAATATACTTTGTGTATGTTCACGAAATTTGGCAGACTTTTATTAAACATTACAAGTCTTTTCTACACAAAAAATCAGATTTTTGAATTAAGTATGTTTATTAAGATTTGTCCATGAATATCTATATAGTATTTCTTTATACTGGTCCAGTAGCACAGTGGTACATTTGTGGACTTACAATGCCAGAAACCAGGTTTTGATACCTGTGATGGGCAGAGCATAGCCCATTGTGTAGCTTTATGCTTAACTTCAAACAAACCAAGTGATAAGTGATTTTTGCACTAAGGTGAAATATACTTTTCTTTGTCTCAAAAATCTCAAATTATATTTCTGTAAACTCTAAAACCATCCAATTAAATTTCAAGCGTTTTTTTTTCAAAAAAACTTTATATTTTATCTGTTATTTTCTTACTTTATGAAAGGTTGATCAATTTGTCTGACCTTGTCACCAAAAAAATAATCTAAATTACCTTTTTCTCTTTCTAGAATGACTTTAAATTGCAAGTTGAAACTACATTTGTTTATCCTACTTCTCTCATAACAGTATATATCTATTTATACATAAATTTCATTGTTTTATTGCCATTTGAACCCTGCCTATTTATTATTTCTGCCGTTATAAGTTGTATGCCGCTCGGCAAACATGCAGATCGCATCATCTTATCAAATTACATTACACACTAGCTACTCACAAGCATACCTTGTAAAAGAATTTTGTTATATTATTATTATTAATTATTTCTCCTAATTTATCCTTAACTAGCATAAAACATCTTTACATTATAGCTATTTTTATAATAAAAAATATAGAATACAAATGAAAAACAAGAACAAAATGACACTTAACCTACTCTTTTATATTAATTGTAGTACTGTGCTCGATAATTTTTCATTCAGTTAAATAATGCACCATAGAACACAGAATAATAATGGGCAAAAAGCGGACAATGTTTCATAACCATCACAATTTTCTTGCTTTCTAACTATGTGACAAGAGCTGGGAGGAATTCAGTTAAACTTATCGATATGTTTCCCATAGCAATAAAGGTAGAACTGGAACAGAAACCAACAATTCTTTTGTGCAGAAAACAATGTAAGATAATTCGATGACGAGGGACCCACTTTGAGACTAATAATGGTTGGAGACGGCTGGAATGGGTAATGAAGAAAAACTTTAACATAACAGCAAATGTACAACGTTTCGACAAGGTTGTACATTTGCTGTTATGTTAAACTTATATTAAAGTTTTCTTCATTACCCATTCAAGCCGTCTCCAAACATTAATGTAAGATGATACAGCATTTGATAGATAAAAACCTTGTATTTCTGTTGGCTATAAATCCTATAGTATTGAATGATAGAGAAATATTGGCCATTTCTGAAATAGAGGATGTGACAGGTGTGCATAGCAAGAGGGTTCTGGTTGTCTATTTCATGGCTCGGTAACCAAATAAGATTGAATACTATGAAAATTATGCTTTGCCTGAGCAATGATGATATTATAGTAAGTAATCTACATTAAATTTATTACTTATTGGAGGGGTGGTAAATAAACTAGGGAAGAGGGGATGCCTAGATAGCAAATGTCACAATTCTCACATTAGGAGAAATTCTAGATTTTTTTAAATATTGCCTTATAAAAGTAAGAACATAAAACTTATATACTATTAAAATATGGATTATTAGCTACAGTTATTGGTATGCTATGAAAAAAAAGTAGGTTAATTAAATTTTGAATGTAACTCACTAAAACATCGTAATGTGCAGAGAAAGATGTTTGCGGAGAGGGGGTTAATACCTTGTACTTAACAGTAATCTCCTCTGATCTACCCCACTTGACATCATTAACCCCTATGTGCACTACAGAAACTCCATCACTACTAGTACCCTTTACTATATCACTTGCTCTGTCTTTTATATCCTCCACCCCTACATGTGGATATCATAATTTAAGTATTTTGTCCCTATTTACTCCACAGACTGTCCTATCCATGCATCATACTAAAGAATCTGTTATAACAATAAACCCCTCATGTTTTTCATTTCTGTCCCTATTTGTCTCTCTTGTTATCCTTCCGTCATGAAGTTCATTATTTGCATAATCTAAAGGCTGAAATCTGTTGCTTAATAGAACCTGCTCATTATAATTAAATCTGCCATTACTATCCCTGTTAGTACTATTTTAACTATCTGAAAACCATTAATAGCTACTGTATCTTTTGTACACAAAAGCTTAATTTCCTCTTTAAATCCTGCTTCCATTTTCCAAAGTTTACCTTTTTGTTTATCCAAAACCTCTATCCTATTTAGAACAGCCTTCAGTTTCTCCTCAAACTTACAAATTGTACAACTTCACTACTAGCTTCCTTAAATGTGCATGTCAACCTTTTAAGCAACCTAACAAAATCTGCCATAATAGCTAAATATGTCTAAAAAATCAGAATCTCCATCTCACAACCTGTTAATATGAAATGAGATTTGGTAAGTATCATTTTAGTAATATGCAACTTTCAGTATATCATATGTTTGTTAAATAAATTTACAGTTTCACTGTGAGGATGGGAAATATAGTGCCTTGGGTGCAATCTGGTTCCAAACTCCAGAAGCTAGTGTAAAGAGCCTCTTTCATGATCCACCAGGTAAGAATATTTTTTCAGTTTGTCAATATACCTTTGTGCTCAACTGTTAAGAAACTTTCACTGACTATCAACAAGTGTGGGCATATGACATTTTCAACTTTGATAACTTCTTTAATATTACCAGTTTTGACCATTTATGAACAATTTTGTAATGCATGTCATTAAACTTGCAATCAAATTTGGAATAGTAAACCCATTCTTATTTGACTTCTAAAATCCAGAAAAAAAAGGTTCTTACACTAGATTTGCCTATTGACTTTACTCACACTGTTATTCTGAATGGTTTTATTTAAGCTGTCACTGAATCTGGGATTTGGTGGTGGAAATTCAAGATCGTTTTATCAAAATATGATAACGTTTTTTTTCTGGATGTTGTTTTAGCATTAAATATGGGAAACTGTTTATTTTGTGTACTTTATCATGGCTACCCATTTTTTCTACCATTCACAAACATACTTCATTACTCTGTTCTTAAAATTATTGTTAAAAAAGTGACCATCAAAAACAATTATGCCTTAATTAAATATTCTAGTATTTTTAACAAAAATGATCAAAATATATGTATATTCTTACCTACTAATATAATTTAACTGTGTATATTTTCTTTGGTAAAGATTCCTGAAGTAAAATTTTATAACATGAAAACCTTAAAATCTTATTTACATCAGGTACTCAAGTGATTATTTTTTGTACACTATCAGATTTGTAATGTTTAATTAGCATTATAAAAAATCACGGTTAAAAATAATCATTTTTATATGTTATTCATTATATCAAAATTGGAACTTTTGTTTGTATTATTTTGGCATATTGTTTTGTTATCATCGAGTTGAACCTAAGGTAACTGTTCACCCGTGTAATTTTGACTGTTTTTGTGTACTTATTAGAATTATACTTTTAACTGGAACATGGACTGAACAATTCAAGCATGAAGAATTTTTTAATTTCATTTTATAAAAAATATTTAAAAAAATGTTCTAAAATTCTGTTTTTAAACATAACTATAACCAATAAATTATAAGCTTTACCACCAACTATGCAACACAAGCCATCAGCTAACATTAGTCATTTACTGTTCTAGTTCAGTTTAGTTCAGTTTCAGAAAAACTTAGGCTTTTAAACAGAAATGAGTGATATAGCTTAATAAATGCCACAGTTATTTTATTTATATAACAGGTTTATCGTATGTAATATCTTGTTAATGTAGGTTAATATTAGTTGAAGTTTGTTATATAAGATCCATTAATGGCATATAAAAATATTGTAATGTTATATTATCTAAGTGTGTGTGTGTGTGTGTGTGTGTGTGTTTAATTACCAGGTTTTACTCTTACTTCTTAAGAGAAATAAAAATAAAATCTATTTCATGTAATAAGAAAATATTTTTCTAAGTGTTGTCAAGCTTTTTATCATAAGTATGTTATGTTTACTGTTGTTTTTGTTTAAAAGAAACATGAGGTGTTGGAATATTTCTTGTCATTTTTAAAAATGTGCATCATAATAATGGTACCATTAATGTTCAAAAGACTTGTATAAGTTACAAATTTATTTTGATCATTATTGTCAGTGAAAATATTACTCAAATAACTTCAGATACATATTAATTTATGATGTAGAATCACTATAACACTAAAACATATATTATATATACTTTGGGCATTGAGTCTTACAAAGCTAACATTGTATATGGTTTTATGCTATCACATCTATATGTACAGGGCGTTTGAAAATTATCCGATGTATTACAAACCATGATAAGACAGTAATAGTCACAAATTTATGATTTGTAATGAATGAAGATATATATATATATATATATATATATATATATATATATAATTTTGAATAGAGAGATGTTCCTCTTATTTAACCCTATCGACCCGGGTACCCCTTACTGTGCATGACACAAGGTTTTAGTGTCTTACATTCAAAATTTTATTAAACTACTTTTAGTTTATTTTATACCAATTATAATAGCATAAAATCTTAGCGAATAATCCATATCTTAATAGTATACAAGTTTTAAGTTCTTAACTATACAAGGCAATATTTAAAAAAATCCAGAATTTCCACTAGTGTGACTCACGTGACACATTTTTTCTTAGCATGTCATCATCCCTATTTTATCCATCACCCATTGAAAATGTACAAAATGAAATACTCTATAAAATCATTATTGCTCAACCAGACCATAATTTTTATAGCCTTCAATTTTGTTTGGTTACAGAGCTATCGAATAGAAAATCAGACCCCTCTTGCCACACCCACCTCTCACATCCTCTCATTCACAATTTGTTGATAGTTCTTTCTTACGTTTCATTATGTATTATCTATAACCAATAGAAAGTCAAGGTTTTCTTCTATCAAATGACGTACTGTATAATGTATTCTGAACAGAATATGGTCAGTTTCACTCATGGTATAAGTCTCTTTCCCGTGGGAAAGTTAACAACTAGCTAGATAAATTTGCAACGGCTCTTGTCGCATATTTAGAAAGCCAGGAAAATTTTGAGAGGTAGGTGAATTTGTCTACTTTTAGCATGCTATTAGTCTATATTCTTTGGTGCATTATTTGATTAAATAAAAATTAAGTGCACTACTATCTATAGTATAAAAAATTAGGGTTAACTCTCTTCAAAACCCGACAGCAAGAAAAATGAAGATTGGGTAAGTACTTTATTTTTTATTTGTCATATTTATTATTATAAAAGTAACTAAAAATACAGATCTTTTAAAGGTATTTAAGACTATATTAGGTAAAATATATAATAATAATAATATAATTAAAATGCTTCACGAGGCACACATACGAGCAGCTTGTGGGTAATGTAATTTGATAATGTAATGTGAGCTGCATGTTCTCAGAGTGATTTACAACTTATATTGGTCAGGATAGTAGTTAGACATGGTTCTAAGGGCAATAAAACAATAACATTTAATTATAAATGGATGTATACTGTTACGAACTTAGAGCTACTTGGGATAAATGAATGTAGTTTCATGTTACAAAAAAGAAAAAGGGTAATTTAGATTTATTTTGATTTTTTTTTAGTGGTGGTTACATGGTTGGTTGAATTAATTGATCCAGTTTTGAGATAGGGTAGAGAAAATAACAGAAAAACATGTTTGAATTGCATTTAGGAGGCTTTAGGGATTACACAAAGGAAATTTGAGATTTTTGAGATGAGGAAAAGTATTTTTGATTTTAACATGAAAATTACTTTGCACACAGAATATTCAAAACAAATACTCAATATATTAATGGACAAATCTTTATTTAATTTTATTAAAAATATGATTTTTTGTATGTGAAAGACATAATATGGACTGAAAGACTGCCAAATTTTGTGAAGATATACACGCAATATTGAAAGTTAGAAGTATTAAATCTATAAAGACTAATCGAGTACAAAGAGGTCATGTGGTCAGCCAAATTGACTGAGCTTGTGTTGAGAGAGTTAAGTAATATAATAATTTATGTTTATCTGTCTACCAAAGTGCCCATCCACAGTTCTTTGTCCAGACAGTTCAAGGTATAATAATTATGTTATGGAATAGCTAAACCCATATTGTGTATACTGGATTTTATGTGGTTGATACATATCATCATCACCATTGTGAACAGTTTATTTCAGATAGTATACCAGTTTTGTTTTGTAAATATACTTTTCAATCTACTTAACCTGGTTTATTTTCATACTTGCCAACTTTTCAAACTTCTCATGGGGGAGAATTTACGCAACTCATGGCATATCAAGCAATTTACAAGCATGTAAACAATCATGCTTGGTTTAGAAGGATAAATACATCTTATTTGTATAATCGGTTTTCATTGTCCAAGAAGAAAGTGAAGCTTGATTTCCAGTATAAATCTCGTGTTACTCAATTGGTTTTGCTATAGAGATCAAACGATTGGCTGACATTTACTGGGAATTTTTAATGAAAGAAGAAGTTAATTGTAGTTGTGCAAATTTTCAGATTTCCAGAAAATATCGGTGTACATGCCTACAATCATGAGAGTTGGAAAGTATGTATTTTCTTTATAATTGAATAACTTCAACTTAATATGTGAAAAGAATGCCAACAATATTACTCAACTACTTACATGATATGAAAATCTTTATTAATTATGTTGAGCTTAATGTGCTTTCTTTGTTTTTTGAAATAAGCTCAGCAGTAAAATGGTAAGACACTAAAAAATTAGTGTGTTAAGATATAATTCAAGCAGGATAATGTATATATATATTGTAAGATATGTGTTTCTGTATGTGCAAAATCAAAGGTACATTACAGCATTTCATTTAAGGAATATTTTTAATAGAGTAATTTTTTTTTCTCATGAAATGAATATATTTTAAGAGTGATGTAAGATTTTTGTATTTATAAATATTAACAATGAATCTCTGAGTCAACCAAACCACGTACAGTATTCCACCTCCAGGAGGCACAAATCTGATATTATTTCAACTCTCTTGTAGACTTCACAGAAAATGCACTGTCTTATCAAGAATCCAACTGTTTTTTGCTGACCCAGTAAAGGAAAAAAAAAAACTGGAGAAGATACAGTGATTTTCTTTTTTGGTAATGAAGACATATCTTACTCAGTTTTGCATGACTTTAGGGTATTATAGTAATATAATATTTGTAGAGACTCTCGAAAAACCAGTTACAATTGGAAACTCTTAAGACAATCAGCAGGTTGTGTAAAAAGTTTGCATATATATCGAATGACAAGTGTCAGAAGCATCACATTCAAAGCTTACTTGCAAGTGTAAGGTAGCAGAATACTCAGTGAGCTACTAGTCCAACAGATGTGAATGCGATCATAACAGGATACCAGTTGCAGAGAAAAAAAGCTGTAAAAGAGGCCAGAGAAAAATTTCATTTGGTACTAATAAAAATGCCTATCAGCCAAACAGAATAACATCTACCTACAGACTGGTTAAAATCATCAGATTTGGACAGCCATTATTAAATTGGTGAGAGTTGTTAACTTTGGGGAGATAAAAAAAATCAACTACACCCACCTTTTTCATAGAAAAAGCCACAACAAAAGACTCTTCAGATCAAGCCTTGCAGATCCCAGTATCTTATTCCAACTTTTACAGATCTTGTGTGGATCCTATGTTTTTAACTCTTTTTCTGGATCCTGCTCTGTGGCAAGTGGTGCCTGAACAGGTATTCTTTAACTTTTCAAATCTACCCTGTCAAGCCATGTCGACTTACATTTTATAATTCCATGGCCAAGCAATGCGCATTGCAGAGATGGGGTGTTCCACAAGATTGCTTGTAGGTTTATCTCATAATAGAATTGCTTCATAACTTTGCCTGTCCCAGACCGTATCAATCCATGGACTACATTGGTAAAGCAGTAGAGAATTGCTGCCCATCCCTGCCATACGTTGTATTGGATAAATCGGTACGTTTGTTTTTAAAATAGGGTTTCATGGTCACCCATTGCACTGTCTCAGGTGTTGATGTTTCTTTGGACTCTCCATTTCGTTTTACTGTCATTTCTTCAAGTGGAATTTGTGAGTCCTTCACCCCTTTGATTGAGATCCTTCATCGTACCCCCATGTGGATGTTGGTTCCTAGTGGCAAGATTTGAGATTTAGAGTACAACCAATCAACATAGTCCTCACAGATGTATTACAGATGTCTATATTCCTTCCTCTTTTATACTCCTTCAGTGTTGTGGATCACTGTGGATGTCATTGTGGAAAATTATGATTCCTTCCTTTCCACTATCCCTAGATGTTTCTTCTTCCGAGGATGTTAATGCGTTTGGGGTGGTTCCGGTCAATTTTGTGTTAGAGAGAGATGTAAATATCTTTTTGGTACCAGATGTTGAGTTTCCAGATCGATCTATCAATTTATCATATTCACATGTACCCTGTTCTTTAGTACTAGATTCCATCTGGTCTCAAGAACTTGAGGTGTGGACGGAATGATCCTCTTTCCTACCCCTGCCAAATGGCTGTTTTTTATTTTAGTTGTCTTGCCATTGATATGATCCTCTTTCCTATCCCCACATGAATGTTGGTTTCTGTTGGCATGTGTTTTGGATTGTAGTCGACTTGCCGGTGTTATGATTCTCTTTCCTACCTCCACATGGATATTGGTACCTTTCAGTCAGGTTTTGGATTGTAATCAACTTTCCAACAGTATGATCCTCATCCTACCCCCACTTGGATGTCAGTTCCAAGCGGCATGGGTTTTGGATATAGTTGACTTGCCATGTATGATCTGTCTCGCCCAAGCCATTCTGCACCTAGGGGCATGTCCTTTTTCATTTTACCCACTTTTATACTTTCTGGGATTGGGTTTCATCAATATTGCATGGTTCGGATCACTTTCTGGCCATTATTCCCTCCCATTTGGATCTCCCCCCTTTTTTTCCAGCCATATATGCGACATCTTTCTACATTGGGCGAAGAGTATACCTGGTTCAGAAGTGATGCAGTTCCTCACTTCAGATCTTAGAACCTGTCTCTTCTTAGGGTGTGTCCTTCAAGTTCTTTAGAATGGTGCTTCTTTCTTTTCTTTGCCCCGGTCCCTCCACCTATTCAATGTGGGATTCTAGCTATTTATGTGAGAAGAGGTAATGTACTGTATCGGAAGTTATAATTTTCCCACACTGAAAATGTATTTCTGATAGGTTCTTACCTCTGTTCACACTTCCCACCCTTCCTCCCCACTGAAAACCGGTACTTCCATCTTCTACCAAAACTCAAAGTAATAGTTAGGTAGAAAGAAATAGAGAGAGTCACATGTGTCATGAGAGTATCTCACACTCCTATTGGTGGAGGATTGATGCATGATGATTTGCATGAGAAACACATTAGAATCAGTCAATTCCAATGAAGGGGAAATAGAAGGCTTGTAACATGCATAAAAAATTTTTGCATATAGATGGCAGCAGCTAATGAAAATAGCTATTTGTGTGAATGGAGATAAGTACCTATCAGAAATACATTTTCATTGTAAGAAAATTATAATTTTAGACATCTTCTCAGAAAAACTAATGGATCAAATAATGAATGTAGTGTTTATTGTGGTATTACTTGTAACAATAAATTGGTCTAATTACTAGTTTAAATTTTTGATTGAAGTTGGATGAGATTCAAATACCTGTGACTCTGTTGACATGTCAGATATATTAACTATACCTAAACTTTTGCTTTCTTTTGTTATTCAGATATGAATTTGACAAGAGCTTTTCAGCCATGTCTATTAGCCTGTAAATCTCAAATTCTTTTTTTTTAATTATAATTTTTTTTATTTATGTGCCAATTTTAAGTAGTTTCACTGAAGAAATTGAAAAACGTAGGATGCCATCCTTGTAAGCTTAGTATGTTCATTGTGATTTTATTATTTACTTCACAGAAACTTAAGAATAATAAATGTGAGATTGAAATCAGTTATTATATATGTGTGTTCTAAAAGTTGAACATTAGGATAATGCTTATCAGTGTTTTAAAACATCTGAAAATGTCTTAACATGTTTAAGATATATTTGTATATAAAATGCAAACAGATCTGGCTCATTTGAGCAAAAGTATGTTTTATCTCTCATTTAAATTAAAAATTAATGAATATCAGTGGAGTATTCAAATTCAATTCATCATGCATTTTGTAAAAATTCAGGTTCTAGCTTATATTCTGAGCTGTTGGTACATGTAAATTTTCACTGTTTATCACTGAAATGTGAGTATTAGCAAACCCTGCATCCAACAAGGTTTTAAATGACTTGTTTACTGTTTTAAATGCTAGACATGTATACTCGTATAAGAGTATATCAGTGAAACACAATTATCAAAAACCACCTCAGAGTTTCTGTGTTGCTAGGAGATGTCCTGTCTTAGCAACTCTGCTTGCACCACCTTTAAACTACAGGGACACAACACTAATAAAACCATTAGCTCAGACTTGACCAGAAAGATTAAAACTTGGTGCACTTCAATAACTGGTAGCTGTTTTCATCATGTTGATGTTAGTAGGAAACATAATTCCTGGTAACACTGTGCTTAGCTCAGTCTAAATAAGTGGTCCTTTTTTCTGCTAGTTTGTAGGCATTTCATGTGAAAGTAGCAGTCCATTATAGCTGAACTTGAAAACAGAAAATTACCGGGTAACTGTTAAGATCACTAACCAGGCTGCTTTTACTGGTATTCTAGAACTGGGCCAAATAAAATCATTAGCATTATACCCTTCCCATGTTGCAGAGAAATTTTCAGCTCAGCTGAGAGAGGATGTAGCAATACCTCCTGATAAATAAGCTTTGTCTGCATATTAATTAACTTCTGGAGGGATACAGCTACCTCATTGATAGCTGTAGATCCCATAGAGTTGATTATGTATTTGACTTATAATATCAATGTTTTGTGTATTCCAGAACTCTAGAAAGTATACGCGAGTTCCCATTGATAAAGTAATACACATGCTGCAGTGCTTAATAAAATTAACCTCTAATAATCATAGTAAATTATTTTTTTACCAAGTATTGAAACCTAGGTTTTAGATGCTGTTCAAATGATGTTATAATGATTCACAATATTGCTAGCCAAGTTATGTGAAATGAAAACATATCAAAATTAAAATAAATTTAATGATGAATAATACAATCAGAGAAGTGATTAATAACAACATATTTAACCAATGAGTTGGAATATACACATCCCTTCTTCTGTAAGTTACTGTGGTAAACACAAAACTATAATTACAAATAATAACATGTATGTTGAGTTAAAGCTTATGTGCTATAATAAACATTTGTAAGGGCAGTTTTGAGACTCAAAAAGGTGGTGCTTGTAAAAACCAGAAAGTGAACTTGGATATAGACCAGAATTTATTATTTAAGCTAGAGTTTAATAATTATACTCTTTTAGTCAGAAACTCCAAATCTATATGCCTGATACCTGAAACTTTTAAAGTCCATTGATGAAATTTTGTGTCAATTAGTTTGACTGTGTGTGAAGATGATTAAAAGTGACTAGTTCTATAGGAAATCTCTAGGTGTTCATGAGTATGTACAGTTAAATGGCATTTGGCTTTACCATTATAGGTAGCTTTTCAGCTACCACATGTATATGAGAAAATGATCCCTGAACAAAGTGGGCCAGAATTCAGTCTTTCAAATGGAAAAAGATGTTTTATTTGACATTTTGATTTAAAGATATTTATCAGTTGAATTTGTGAGAATTGCAAAGTAACAATTAGTGGTTGTGTTTTTTTTTGTTATTATTGTATAAATGAAAATTACATACAATCCAAAAGTGGTCTTTTCCCTTCATGCAGAAATTTTCCTTAAAAGTAATTTTCTTATGTAGGTTAACATTTAATTACTAATTTATTTGTGTTTGAATATAACAAACACCCTTTTCAGGAAATCCAATTGAATGAGGTTAAAGTTGAGTTATATTTCAGTGATCTTAAAAATAACAGTATTTCTTGTTTTCAAGTTTGCCCCTCTCCAAAATAAAAAAAATAAATTTTATACAGGTTTGTCATAGTATAATTTGCTTTTGGAAAGCTTGCTTATGAAATCAATACCATAATTTAGGGTCTTGGACTCTCACTTCTCTGGGGATCTTTTTTCTCTTCTACTTCCTTCTGGCATGCTGGACATATGGACTTAGCGTTTCTAGTGGTCTCTTCATCCCCACACTTCTTGCAGGTGCTGCTTGGGGAAGAATTATGGGCATCTGTGCTGAATGGTTGTTCAATGGACAGGTTTGTCATAGAGTATACAGTCGTTGTTTTTAATTGTTCTTCATGGGGTAAGAAGACCTGATTGGTCAGTGTCAAATTTTATAAATATGCTTTAGTCTTTTTTAAGTGTGTTGTATTTTTGTAAATATCTCATTTGTTTTTTACCTCATAGAGAATTAATGAATCAAAGTTTTAAGTAGTTGAAAATAATGATGGAACTGAAGACTGGCTGATATTTCATTTCACATGTTTACTTAGTAGAATGTCTTTTGTGTTTTCTTTATTTTCTTTACCATCTTAAAACATGAGGTACTAGAGAACTGCAGTGCAACACATGACAAAGTATGTGAGCTTTTATAGCTACTGCAATAATATTAATGTGTAGTTTAAAAACATTATTGGTTTGCATGATATACAGTCATTATCAGCAAGTTCCAGACATGTACAAGTGTACAACTTTATTAGAACATCTCATCAAATGCTTTAGAAATTAATTTGCAATTATTGCAAATTAATATTTCAGGAAACTATTGCATAATTAGTATACAAATGATTTATTTAAGTTTCTTGGTATCAGTAATATCTTGGTATCTTTGTGACATTATGTCTGTGTAATTTCTCAAAGTTGTTGGTGGAATTTGATTCTGTTTTTTGTCAAGTTGTGGCTAGAGGCTTTCATTAGTATATTTCGTACTTTTGTCAAGCATGGAGTATAGCAAATTCCAGGTTTGTTGTATGGGTTAAGTTTTTGGACTTTGTGGCAGCCATTCTATTCATTAGAGATCTCCTGAGTTTTTCTTTGCCACAAATTTCACATTTCTTGGAAATGTGATTGGGATCTTTATCTTTTTAAAATATGAAATTCTACTGAATCAGCTTCTCTCTAGAAGGTTTAGCATAATGGATTAATATACTCCTCAAAGATTTTAAATAAATAGAATATTTCTTATTTTTCATATTAATATCTATATTTCTTTTGTTTTGGGTATAAAATTCTTGAAAGACTGCAAAACACTTAAGGTGATCAAGAACTGGTACAAATATAATGATTCCATGATTATTCAGTGTTGTTAAGATGCAAATAATAATGACTTTAATTAAATGATATGCAGTGACTTGTTAAAAAATGTGACAATTTATCTTTATTTGTATTACTTTGGAGATATACAGTTTGAACAGTAATTAGCCCTTGCCTGACAGTATTACAGACATGTTTGCATCTATAAAAAAACATTGTCTTGAATTTATATTAAAATAAATTGAGATTCCTTAAAGTAACTACCTGATTTACTGTTCTCTGTTTTTAGGAATGGGGGTAAAATATCACTAGCATCTTCTGTAGTATTAACTGCAGGCTGCCACTGATACTGATTCTTGAGTCCATCAGATCTGTGAAGATAGCCAATACCATTTGCAGATATTTTTCCCCAAGCCGTCACATAATAATAATAATTGCTTGGCATGGCCAGGTGGTTAGGGAGCTCGACTCGCAATCTGAGGGTCGTGGTTGGAATCCCTGTAACACCAAACATGCGTGCCCTTTCAGCCTTGGGGGCATTATAATGTGATGGTCAATCCCACTATTCGTTGGTAAAAGAGTAGCCCAAGAGTTGACGGCGGGTGGTGATGACTAGCTGTTTTCCCTCTAGTCTTACACTGCTAAATTACGGACGGCTAGCACAGATAGCCCTCGTGTAGCTTTGTGCAAAATTCAAAACAAACAAACAGTAATAATAATTAACGATGGTTGGAACAAAACAGTTCAAATTTAGATTTATCTTTACAAGACACCTTATATGCCACTGTTCTGAAGAGCAGGATACATGTTCTTTCACATAAGTTAATATGTTTGCTCTATTCTTTTTGCACAATAAGGGTTTTAATGTTGCTACTCTTTCTCCAAAGGCCACAATTCTGCAGTGTTCTTTGGACTACAATTTTTAATACTTTATAAGTGTATGGCTTATTATCAGCAAGAGCTTTCACATTTTTTTCCTCGGTTTTCAGGTGTTTGGTTTTTAGGTATGTAACATCTGTTCCATTGAGTTTTTCTTTTGTCTCCTAATGTTATAGACTTTGAGTTTCTTTGCTGTCAAGTTTGTACTTAGTAGTGTTTGGTGAATAGCCAAGGTTTTCTACAATTTTTCTTAAACTCCAGCCAACATCATATAAATGTTTGGCTCTGACTCAACATGCTTTTTCTCTCTGTTATGGAATTTTAATACAATACCATGCTCTGTTAGCTGTAATAGACAATGTTTTGAAAAAAATCTTCATTTATATACCTATATATGTCCTCGCATTAAAAACCCAGAATGTAAAAGTCTCAAATTTTTGTCAGTGGTGACGATGTTGCATCACTTTGTACTTGCATAACTTTTACAAAATCCACTTCACTTAATCATTTATGTCTGTATGGGGCCTTTTGTTTTAATGTTTAATTAATTAAATGTGTGGCATATTAAAGTTGTAGATAAAGTGAGAAAATAAGTAATTTGCCTATTTTGATAATTTTTTATGACATTTTAAACTACAAAAGTTTTATTTCATGTGTAACAACAAATCAGAACTATAGGAGCAATAGGGTGTTCTAATAAATGTGTACACTACTGTACATGCACTAAGATCACAGAAAAACTAAAATTCACTTCAGGCTTACCATTTCAAAATAATTATAGTTGTAGGTGACTACATCTAAAACTTAATAAATTTGTACACTACTGTACATGCATTAAGGTCACAGAAAAACTAAAATTCACTTCAGGCTTACCATTTCAAAATAATTATAGTTGTAGGTGACTTCATCTAAAACATGAATTTGCTTCAGTTTTCTGATCCATCACAAATATATGTCTAAATAATAAACTTTTTTCCGAGTGCCTTAACTACAGCTTTATCATGTTTTATCCCAGTAGTTTTTAAGGGTATTATTTTGTATTAATTATTTAAAAACTGTTTTCTAATAATTATTGTAAATGTATCCTAGTTATGAGCTTAATTCAAAACACCCTTGAAAGATAATTTATCGTTAAAGACTTTGTAATTTTCTCTAATCAGACAGGAATTGTATTTATGCTGTACACTGTGTGAATATTCACTGTACTTGAAAATCACCAACATTTTATTACCGAAGCACATATTTTACTTAATTCTGACTTATTTCATATTATGTTTGACCTAAGTAAAAATTAAATTAATTTAATTTAACTAAAATGTCTTGCAAATAATAATTTAAAAATTGAGTAATTAAGAAATTCAGTGTATATTTGAACTGTTCTACGTTTAGTTAGATAAAACAGAAGTGTTTGTGGTCTATTGTGGTGATATTAGTAGTTCTTGTATATGTGTGGTAACTTTTAGAACAATCATATTTTCAAACCATAACTTTGTGAAAATTTATAATGGCTGGAGACGGCTCGATTGGGTAATGAAGAAAAACTGTAATATAAGTTTAACATAACAGCAAATGTACAACGTTTCTTGTACCTCATGATGACAAAACCTTGTCAAAACGTTGTACA